AGCAAAGTGACCTGAGGGGAGATGGGGAGTATAGAGGGGAGGACAGAAAGGACCCCACAGAAGCAATCACTTAGGCAGCTGTAATAGTTGGGGTGACAGGCACGAGGAAAGAGACTGAAGCAGAGTGGCGGTAACAGAAATGCAGGGTAAGAACAGATTCCCGAGTCGCTGCAGATATTCTGTGCACTTACTACCAGCTGAATTCGGGAGCCGAGGGAGCGCGAGGAAGCGTTTTACTGTTTATCTTTGCGAGTCTCATCTCTCGTCTTCTATTTTCACCTTCATATGAATTCTATTATAGCCGTTAATTAATCTCTAATTGCTTAGATGTTCACTGAGCTCTAGAATATAATTTTACATATATAATATGTGTTATCCATATCATTGAGGTTTAATTATACATATTTACTTAGTGAGGTTTAATATTTATATAGACACATACATACATACATCTGTATCACTTAGAAGGTGAAGTATTGTTTGGTATTATTATCATTTTATTAATACGATGATTCGAACATTATACCATTAGCTCTCACAATATCCATAGCTACCATGAACTAGTGAGGAAAGACTAGTTTTGATTGGAACCTAAAAAAAATGAGACTTCTGAGTAAAATTATTTTTCATAAAATATTAAGACTGCTATTTTTATTACATGTTTAAGAGGAAAGGAGATGAATAGAACTGTTTTGCTCTAGAATTCAGGAAACAATTCTCTTTTTGAGCATTTAATTAGTGTGAAACATTTAAAAGCATTACACCATTAAAATAAGACAAGAATTCAAGCAATTTGAAGAACAGAATGTTTTTTATACTCAGCGTCACTGAAATGAAATCAATCTGCTTCACGGCGTATTGCCACCCTCAAACTGGATCGAACTCGCTGTATTAAACAAGCAGTCTTATATTTAGGCCTTGGGAAAGTCAATGGCTTGCAAAGGTTCACTTAAATCTGTTTGTAGCCGTGTAGGGAATCAGTGGGCCTCAACCCTAGAACAGGCACAGGTGCTGATGCCTACACGTTTGTGTTGGTGACATGCACGCACACACATGCACTGTCCCCGATGATTTGCTTTATTGACTCTGGCAATAGGATCAAAATAAAACTCGATGGTTAGAGATGATCTATGGTCCTCTAAGAAGAGGAAGCTGTTTTGACAGACTTTGGCCTACTCACACTCATAATCAGTGTGATAAGAAAACAGTCTGTGAGACTTTTTATAACACCATTTGCTCAGTTGGTCTCTATAACAGACTTTTCTGAGTATAATGAAAACAAAAACGATCAATTTAAAAATTTTACCCTGGTTTCCATTTCTGTTCAAAAGCCTTTTTTTCAAAGGGTATTTGATTTCTGTAAATCAAAACCCAGGGCTGGATTGGTTGAGTGCACTTTCCACGGCTGTTTATTGCCATCTCAAGGGCCGTTACCTAGCAACCCCATGGCAGAAAACTTCTAGTACTTTACATCAAACAGGAGCTCAGAAAACATTGGTGAGACAGACTTTAAAAAATATATCTGACTTATGTAAGTGTAATTAACAATTTTATTTCTCATAAAGTGAAAGGGACTAGCAAATAGATTTGGCTCATATCCACCTATGAATTTGTATTCTTAATTATATTTGCTTATCTTAAAAGCTCTCACCTTAAAAACAATAGAAATGACAATAATAAAGAAACCAAGGATCTCAGACAATTCTGTTATTTTAACATTCCTAACTCTTGAGAACTGTTTCCCACCCTTGAGGTAGTTACAATTAATAGTATGATTCCTGATTTTACAGACAATTATTTGTGCTTATCAGACATACGTGTGCATGCATGAACATACATGCAGAAGGCAGCATCTCCATAAAACCGGGATCATGATTAATTGGATAACGATGGAGTTATTTTGTTTGGCTACTTACATTATTAAAACATGTTCTTGGCATATATTTCAGGAGAATTTATGCATTTTTCGTTTTAATAGTGCATGATTAAAATGATATATAACACTTGATTGGAATTCTGTCCAGCATTTTATACTCATCGTTTATTTTTCTCAGAAAACCTTTGAGGTCAATAGTGTTATTGTTCACGTCTGAAAGAGCAAGGTGGGCGTGGAGGGAGGGAGGGGGAGTGTGCACCTGCCCTAGCCCTTGGTGGGGACCCCAGGGTAGCACGTGCTTTGCAGGCCAGCCGCAGGGCAGAGAGGTCCTGGTATCCTGATCAGAATAAGCAGAAACTGCACAAGAGTGGGAACACACGATGAAATGTCTATCATTCTGAAAGCAGAAACACTTTCTTCAACAAGGAAGGGCCATTGGATGCCACAAAGAAAAACCGAGCAGATGGAACAGTTGCTAAGCAGTGTGGTCTTTGCAGATCTAAGCCAGACTTTGACCACATAGGTCATCTTACCAGTAAGGAAGAGAGTTCAGGGAAAGTGGTTTGACTACAGCAAAATGATCCAGCAGTTAAACAAAACCCATTCGTGTGACCACATCTCCCAGAAAGAGAGGCCGAGAAATGTCATTTCCTCCTGGGCAGCCGTACACCCAGCTGAAACTTGGAGACAAGGTGGGGGCAGTGAAGCTTCTAGCACCCAAGGGAGAAGGAAAGGATGTCTATGGGTGACAGGTGCTGAATTTCCATCACCGCTCAAGTCTTTGTCTGCCCAGGGAGCTATGTGTAGTACTTTCCCTGCAGAGTAAGCTGCCCGTCCATTATGGTGGAAAACACTTCCAAGTGATGTCATTTGTTGCACCCAGCTCAAAGTTCAGGCTGTCTGGGTGATGCAGACTCAGCCCTAGGGGTTCCCACTGGTCTGGCAACAGACACACAAATAAAACAGTGGTTTGCCTGCACTTCCACCCCCTACGCCCATGCATCAGGGAGCGAGATCACTGTAATAAGATGCTGACTTTTGGAAAAGGGAAGAATGGGAGGCCCCCAGCAGTCCTGGGCCCACACCAGTGATGAAATCCTGTGGGATATGAGTTGCAGAGATCGTGTGGTAGATTCCTTGATTGGACACCCATGCTGCTCATGGAGAATAACTCCTTTGTTTATTCGTAAGCTTGGCTCCATTCTCTGTGACCACAAAGAAACAGAAATTGGAGTAGATGACCTCTAGTCACTTCGTCAGAAATTATGCTGTATTCTTTCTTTGATTTATGCAAATGAAGATTGTTATCTGGTTGAATAGTTTATCATATTCCTTGTGTCAATCATTCATATTGATTACATTGATATCTTTTTCGTAAAAAAGGTACTGTATTTACTTTTTATTTAACAAGGAATTCCATGATTATTAGATGTTAACTTCTCAGTATATGACCATGGTTTTCAACCTATCAGATCAAATACCTCTTTTTTATAATAAATATTTTGTAATGCTTCCTTTACTATTCTGGAATGAAATTCAGATAATATAGCTCTTTATACAAATATATTTCAAAAATTAACATAAATACCCTAATTATAATATGAAAAAATAGAAGGGGGAGCTGAATAATAAAGAGGCGTGTATTTCCATATGTAAATGCTCAGGTATGAATACCCAAGGAGACACAGTGAAAAGAGAGATGCTTACTGTCAGTGGTAACGTTAGTAATTTAAACATCCTAAATTTGTATTAATGACTCATAGTGCTGAACAGTATTGTGTTCTCGGATAATTCAGTATTTACTAAACAGTGTGAAACACACTTTGTATTTCTGTGTAAAACTCCAGGAGTGCGTGCCTCACTTCATGGCCTAGTACCTAACTACAGGCTTTTACTGTAGAAGAAAAAGGCATATGCAAAAATAAGAATGGTCACCTAAATTTCCCCAGTCTCCTGTCTTCCAGTTTTTCCTGATGACTACAGTGTTCGATAAAGTGACTCCTGTAACACAACCCTCCCTCCCCCAACACATCACACACAGTCATCCCAGGGAAGGGGTGTATACTCGGGCTGAGCGACATCACCTCCCTCTCCTGTGGCCTCCCCCTCCCAGGTGACATAGTTTCTTATGGTTTCTTTATCATTGAATTTCAATATGGACCCCCTGGCTGCTCTTTGTAACCTTAAGGTAGATCAGATGGGATATTTTTAAACTGTCACACAAGCACGGTTTCCCGTGGTCTCTGACAAGGGGAATTATGGTTTGTACATTCCACTAAGGGAAAGTTCATAGTTACATGTGGTAATGCGGATATGGTAATCACATCTTCCAAATCTTCCGGTGCAGTTTGGATTTTAAAATGCTCTGTTTTATTTCATAAAAAATGCACACTAATTTCTGGTGAAGTGGTTTCTTCCACAAGCCCTCGGTTATAAGGCTTCTCTCCAGGGAGCGCTTGGTTGGTTATGCAGGACGAGTTTTCTTTAGTTTAGTTGTATTCCAGTTTGGTCCTGGGAGGAGTGTGGCTGCCACTCCCTCCTCTGCCATCTTGGGGTTCCTGTTGTACACTCATTTCTTAGAGCTGATTTATTGTCCAGACTAACCCTCAAACCCACCTGCATCCCACCCCCTCCTGCATGCAGGTGAGGCATCAGGAAATGAAACCCTTTGGCAAAGCCCGCCAATTTTGTTAAAGGCAGAACTGGAGTTAGATGCCCCTTTCTCTGTCCGTTACTAACTCATAGTGTACTACTCTCTTTTTTAAATTTTTATTTTAAAATTACAGTTTACATTCAATATTATTTTGTATTAGTTTGAGGTGTACAGCATCATGGTCACCCAATCAAATACTTTATGGAGTGGTTTTCTAGTATTTCCAGCATCCACCTGGCACCTTACGGAGTTCGTACAGTTTTACTGAGTGTATGGCCTGTGCTGTAGTGGCCTCTCTTAAGAAACAGTTTGCTTGGGGGAAAAATTATACATGTAAAACAAGATCTTTAAAGTAAGTGTGTTTATGTTGCGATGATCGTAATTTAATTTGTCGTTTTATTTTTCATATTATTTTAAAATATTCCCATCCCAAGGTAAATTATTCTAATTTACCTATTTTATTTCAAACAGATCATGTGGTTTGTGAAGAAGAGTTTAAATACGCCATGTTAGCTTTAAACTGTATATGCCCAGCAACATCTACACTTATCACACTACTGGTTCACACCTCTAGAGGGCAGTAAGTATATCTTTTCTTTAAGATAATGCATTTTAAATTATATATATATATTATAAAGACAAGTAGCATTATGTGATTTAGAAATATAGCAAGTCAAGGTATATAGCTAGACATGTACCTATGCTGGTATTTGTGTGTTATCTTTGTCTGTTGCAGAGATAGACAGACAGACAGACAAATACAGACCTGTTAGAGGGATTTGCTCTCTCTTCTAACTGATCTTGAGATCACCCATTCCATCCCGAATGCTAATGTCTACATCACTTGTTAGGCCTGGGGTTAGGGCTTCGTTTCTCAGTTTGAGATGGGCACGTAGCAAACGAAACGTTCAAGAACAGGATGAAGACAGTCACCAGCGTAAGACCTTAGAGCTAAGTTTTTCTACTCCTGAGACAAATGTTCGGTCTTCCTGTCTTAAAGCTTTCTATACACAACTGACCTCAAAATTAAAAAAAATTCAATTCTTACAGAATGATAACAAAACCAGAGATATGATTAGCTAATAATGTAGTATGAAGAAATCACTTCTTTATGCATTTCAAGGGAGACGGAGAAAGGTTCCATCATCAAAACACATCGTTCTCATTGACTTGGGTGCAGTTTCATGAAACACCAAGGAACATGGAATAAGGGTGTGCGCTCTCCCCTCCGACTTATGGAGACACTGCATTTCCTACCATTTCCTATTTTTTATTGTATCAGAGACAAAAAGTTGATTTTCTAAGTAAACTTCACTGTGGTTTTGTGGTTCTGATTATTTAAGTTAATTGATAGCTATTTAAGTGATGTGCCAAGATGAATATATCAAGGAAAAGGAAAATTCTTTCTTGGGACTTAATACTAGATGGAATCAATGGGTAATTGAAAATGAGTAAATGCCTTATGGTATTTTGAAGCAAATTTTACTCTTCCCTCGGATTATGTCTCTGCTCTATTGAGATAGTAAGAGTTTCCCAGAGGCAAGTTTATTAAAGCTTAGAATACAAATATTTCTATTCTGTACATTTAGAAGCTCTTCTCACCTGCTGATGGAAAGAACAGAATAGGTTCATGAATGAAACTGTTTTTCATTGAAGAAAGTGCGCAGATGGCAAATAAGTTAAATAAAAAACTGAAAACTGTTTTGACACCATTAATCGAACATTCATGGAGCTCATCACATGGCATCTGTGTCACAGAGTTGTATGACCTCCAAGATAAATCATTTCACAACTAAGTGTCACAGAAGTGCGATAACCCTAGAATAACTTTCTTTATAGCTGCTTCAATGAGATGTAACTCACATATTCTACAATTCGCCCATATGAAGTGTAAAATTCAATGTTTTTTTTTTTTTTTTAGTATAGCCCTAGAACTGTGTAGCCATCACCGCTGTCTCACTTGAAACACTCTGCTTTGGGGCATCTCTACCTTTCCCCTAACTCTGTTAAGCCCAGGAAACCACTAGTTTCCTCTGTCTCTGTAGATTTTTCCTATTTGGGGCATTGCCTATTGCATATAAATGGGATCATGGGATGTGCGTGGGGGGTGTTGATCTGTTTCTTTCACTTGGTGTACTGTTTCCGAGGCGTGTCCATTTGGTAATATGCATGGGCCCTTTGTTTCTTTTTATGACTAAAGAATATTCCATTATGTGATTATATGGCATTTTATTTTTCTATTTGTCAGGTGGTGGGTACCTGGGTTGTTGCCAGGATTGTGAGTAAGGCTGCTGTCGACACTTGGCAGGCGTGTGATGACTTTTATGTGGACATGTGCTTGCATTTCTTTTGGGTACAAATTAGGGGTGGGATGGCTGGGACACGCAGTAACACGGTTTAGTCTTTTTTTTAGGAACTGTCATAATTTTTCCCAAAGAGACTGTGACGTCACGTGTCCTGACCAGCAATGGGTTAAGGTTCCAATTTCTTCATATCCTCAGTAGCGCTTGTTATTGTCCAGCTTTTTGACATCACCATCGAATGAATGAAAAGTGGTGTCTGCCTGTGGTATTGGTTTGCATTGCACTGACAGCTAATGACTCGATGCATCTCTTCATGTGTTTCGTGGCGATTTAAGTATCTTCTTTGCAGAAAAGCCTGTGCAGATCATTTGCCCATTTTTAAATCAGGTCATTTGTCTTTGATTATTGAGTGTCAGAGTTTTTACATATTTTAGATGTAAGTACCATATCAAATATATGTCATCACTTGAATATCATCAACCCAACAGAAAAGCACTTAATTTAATATGTTTAGTGTATTTATTAAGAATATCATTTGGCTAAAGTAACATATCATTTCCCATATTAATGCTTTAGTTGAAGATAGAGTCAAGATTCACTTATTGAGAAAATATGCTTGAAATTTCGTCCTTGAACCTCAGCTGGTGTTAGAAGGCTCAAATATATTGATTTAGTAATAAGAGAACAATCTAGTTGAGACAAAGGAGAGAGACAAAGCAATCGAGAAATGGAGGCCAAAGGTCAGCCCTCTTGGTGACAGCTGTACTTCTGACCACAGTGATGACGGAGTTCCTAATTCAGAGCCAGTGTTGCACCAGCCCACTCAGCCACTGTCCACCCTTCCTGAGTTCCCTTCCTCGAGTGGAAGTGGGGACACAGAGGGGCACCACAAGTTAATGATGAATGGCTTATCTTTGGATTTTTATGTCAGAGGAATATTGATGTTTTTTTAAAAAGAAATACAATTTCTGAGTCCCTACTGATACAGTCAATACAGCTCCCCAGGTTGGTTAACACTCTTAGGATCTTACAGTTCCTGTCCTATTGTTTATTAATATTTCGGTCCTAGTTGTAGTTGGTCTGTAAGTCATAAAGTTAACTTCGAGATAGGTTCAAGTAACTGTGCTCCTTCGATTCACTGAGTTTATCCTGCCCTTGAGCACTTCCCAGCTTTTCCCTTCATTGGCTTTATTACGCGTTGCGGGTTCAGCGCTCTGGCCATGGTATTTCTGATTGCTAATTAAAGCAGCATTTTGATTTATTGGACAATCTTGCTAGAAAGACGAACGTAAATTTACTGCTTGGATGATCATTGCTGCAGGACAGTAACCATGGACCAGGATAATTTGGGCAAAGAAATGCCTAATTATCAGTCTAGTTAATTAATAGACACAGTGATTCAGCTGGATGACATTTCATCCTTAGCAAATTTTAGTTTCTTTTTATTTTCCTTTCAATTTACTTTCATAAGAATATTTTTTCATTAGTCCATCCAAAAAGTAATGCCATATTTTTCGGACTATAACACACACTCCCTCCCCCCAAAATTTGGGAGGAAAATGCAGCGGTGACCCTGCTCCTGCCCTCCTGTGACCCCATTCCACCACAGCCCCCCCTGCCCCACAGAGAGCCAGGTAAGCTACATTCAGACGATAAGACATACACCCCTTTTCCTTTCAAATTTCAGGGGGAAAGTGCATCTTATAGTCTGAAAATGCAGTATTTTTGGTCCCAGTGGTCATGGATAGGAAAGAAAGAGAGAACCGAGGAGAAAAATACCACAAAGTTAGAATTTACAAGTTAGAACTTGGCCACAGATAAGATCTGGATGCAGGCAAGAGAAAAAAGAAACAAATGTTCTCAGACACTAGTGTGGACGCTGGGGAACGATAAAGCTTGCAGTTTGGCAGAAAGGGGACTCTGAAGGAGGAAATGTTTGCTTCTAATGAAGGCGTAAGTGGCTGGGATTGCTGGTATCCTCAGCTTCTGGGAACAAAGGAGGGCATTCAGGTAGAAATACTGAGGGTTTGGGAAGAAGGACAATTTAACACTTTCCTCTGGAAATCATTACTTTCAGGAAAGGGTGGAAGAAAAGAAAAACAAGTGCGGTGTAGCACTGTGGATTATAAAGGAGTGAGGGTGTGGAAGAAGACCTGGGTAGTTAACAAGGCAGAGAGTTGGAGATGCATGCAACCCAAGTAGGTCACTGGTTCCCAGGCAGTTCTGAGAAGACAGCTTCAGACAATGGAGACGTCCTCATTGTGAGAAAGGATTCAGGAAAGAAGAAATGTCAAGAATGTGTCCTCAGTTCTTTCCACGAAGATAAGAAACACAGTGAATGCTCTATTGCACAGAAAAGTTGAGACAAGCTTTTCCTGTGACTTTTTTCATGGGAGCCTGTATGTATTTCTCTATTTTTTTTTTGTTTGCTTTTAAAGTTTGATTTGTGGGCAAGCAGCAGTGAGCAGAGGAAAGAAGAGTACAGTGAGACAGCAGGGGATGAGATTGGGGACTGATCGTCACCACCTGGTGTGTTCTATAGGCAGGAAGGGGTAACTAAAGGGTCATTAACAGCAATGTCGTTCGGTCATAATGAGTAATATCACACTAATTAAAAAAACGTGTTCTGCCTCCCATAATATAGTGTTACAGAACAGGGCCTCTGGACCCCATTCCAAATCCCTATCTGGGGCCCTTCTCTGGGCTGCACCCTGTTTCAATTGTATGATTAAAGGGAGGGGTGGTATTTATTGGACAGATCAAAGACTGGGGATCAATATTCAGAACAGGTTGTCTGATTCCACAATGTTATCAGAACACTTGGTTCTTTCCATTTTTTCCTTCCAGCATCTTTAGCCTGGAGACAACAATCCTTAAGATTCTCTTTGAAATCACATGTGTCCTTCACTCCAGGCTATTCTCTTACGAGGTAGGAAGGAGCAGAAACAGAAAGGGGTGAACTGAGAGTACTGAAGACTTCCCAAATGAGAGAATATGGGCTTGATTCTAGTTCTGTCTGTTAGCAATGGAAATCAATTTAAATTAAAAAATATATGAAAACACATGCACACTTATGTGCATACGCATATATGCACATGATTACTTAAAATGATAGGTTTATTCTTTATAAATAATCAGGTTGTATAGCATAGGTAAGAAAAGGCAAATGAAAGGATCTTATGTGGGGGTATACCGAGTCATGCAAATAACTGCGATTGCTGAAGTTTTATGTGTGAAAAACCATGAAGGTCATTGTTATTTGTTAAAGAGAGAGCTG